TTATTTTTATTACTTAATGCATTGTAATGAGAATCAGGGGGGATAGGAGCAGGCAGGGATGTAGCTCTTACTTCTTTGTAGACAAGTCTTTAGGTAGTTCCCTCCACTCCAATGGTTTTTGCCCCTGTATCTCCTACTTCCCAGTAAAATGCTCTACTATCATGCCAAGAGCCAGGCACTGGCCAGGGCATCCTACAGCTTTCTCTTTGAAGATGGCCCACTGTCCAGATGAGAGAGGATGATACATGGGGCCAGCAAGAAAATAAGCAAAAGGGAGTGGGTTCAGAGTTCAGTTCCCTAGAAGGGAAGGGCCCTGAGTTTGGGTTTTGGTTCTTGTTTCCAAATCTATTCTGACTGATCATGCTTTCATTCAACCCAGTTTAAACTGGAAAGACTACAATTAAATCAATATATCTTTTTATTGTGTCACTCAATTCATTATCGTTTCATTGAAATGTTGTGACTGATATTGGTGAAAATAAAGTGGAACTGAAGTCACCATCATTAGAAAGTTAGGGAAATGGTGTAAATGGGGCAATATGAACCTTTTCTTGTAGGATTTTTTTTCTCCTTAATATCGGAGGATATTTTTTGCAGAATGAGAACACTTCTTATGGAGTGTGATGCTGTGGTGGGTTTTCCTTCTTCTGTCAGTCGTGTCACACATTGAAAACCTTCGAGAATACATCTCATTTTTCTGTGGGTTCCCTCAGTGTTATTTGATGGAATCCATATGAAGTCACTACCTTTAGGCTTCCAGAAAGTGAATCATGAATTGGGATCAAAATGTTCAAACTATAATGACAGTATTAAAACACTCATTTTAAAATATGGCATGGGCAGTGATCTGTGCCTTCATTTTGCTTCTTGATTCAAGCTGTGTGTCTGCATTCTGCTCTCACTCCTCACTGGAGAAGTCCTAATGTTTTCATGCTATAATGGCACTTAACACATGTTTTACTGCATAAAATGCTAGGGTACAAGTATTAAAGTGGAAATAACACATGCTCAGCATAATCTGCAATAAGGCTCTCAGTCACCTCTTCTACAAGCTGAAGAATCATAGATTTCATAAGACATTAGGGCTGGAAGGGACCTTGCAAGATCATCAGGTCCAGTCCCCTGCCCAAGGGGCAGGAAGTCAGCTGGGGTAAATGATCCCAGCAAGATAGGCATCCAAGCGTTTCTTAAGAGTGTCCAGAGTTGGTGCTTGCACCACTTGCGGGGAGGAGGGGGTCAGTTCCAGGCCCTGAGGACTTGAAGGGTAAAGACGTTTTCCCTTATGTCCAGCCTAAAATGATCTTCCAGGAGTTTATGACCATTGGACCTTGTGTTCCCTAGGGATGCCCTAGTGAGCAGATATTCTCCCAGTTCCTGATGCACATCCCTTATGTACTTATAGGCATATTTCTTATAATCCTATAGGCATATCATTTTTAATCCTATTTCTTCCAACCTCTCTTTGTATGACTTGCCTTCCAAACCCTTCATCATTTTTGTTTCCCAACATCTCTAACTTCTCTGTCTCCTATTTGAACTACGAAGCTTAAAAGTGCACGTGATATTCTAGATGAGGGCTAAGCATCACCAAGTAAAGTACCTACTAATTCTTCTGATACAGCCCAAAAATGAATTTCCCTTTTGTATAGCTGCCTCACACTACAGACTCACTTTGTATCTGTGATCCATCAAGACTCTTGGATCTTTCTCTGTAGTGTTGCCATCCAGCCATCTTGTGTCTGTTTTTGGTTTTTCTTCCCAAGGTGTAGCCCCTTGCATTTGTCACTACTGAACTTCAACCTGTTGACTGTAGCCCTGTTTTCCAAACTATTTTGATCCTTCTGAATTATACTCCTGTCCTCCAGTGTGTTCAAAATCCTTCCCAGGTTTGTTTATTCTACACTGTTGTCCAAAAAGATTAAAAAAAACCCTTCCAGTTATGCTCTGCCTACAGGCAATAGCTATCCATACAATAACTGAATCCACTTTAAGTCACTGACTATCCTTCCCATGGCCCCCTATTGAGTTATGCTGTCCTTAGAGGAAGGAATAGATATGCCTAGCTGCCCAACCCCTACTACTACTCTGGACTCTTTCCTTGTCAGTCCAAATCCAGGGATAACAGTGAAGTATAATGAAACTACAGACTACACTCTGCTCTTCCTCCTTTCCCCTTTCCTTTCCCCCTCCCACTCCCTTTCCCTCACTCCTCTCCACAACATCCATGATCTACATCCTTTTTTTAGGCCATTCATAGGAACAAACTCATTATTCTCACCCTCTCCATTTTTTTGGCTAGCTGGAAAATAATCACCATCTTCTGGCTAATGTTTGCACCCACAATTTTCACTTTTCCAGCCCCACCAACTGTGGAAACTTAGTGGATTTTATCTGCGGGTAAGATGTGTTATTGGCAAAGTAGTGTTAGCAAAGCTTAAGCCATGTAACTGAAATATGGTTGGCGAAAGCATTAACACAAATTAATGAAAGTAAGTGGTCCCATGTCAACCCTTCTACTGCCAGCTCCTCATAGAAGTTAATCACTGTGGCCAGGAGAGGGATATTTTTTCCTCAAAAAAGCAGAAGATAGAAGAAAGTATATGTGACCCTTCTTCCAGGCACTGGAAGGCAATAACAAGGTCTGAATTCAAATTTGAGGGTTTTTACGTAAACTTTCTTTCTTAACTCAAGCCTGTACCCAGAAACCTGGGACAGTACATTTTAATTGGTTATTCCAAAGTGAAACAACTTCCCCACTTAGAAGCAATAGTAAATTATAACAGCCTTTATTAATGTGTAAAAGGGACAAACACACAACCCTAAAGAAAAGCATATTCATTATTTGCTGAAACCACTAACAGTTAATTGTCTATGACAGTCAGTAATAAAGAAACTGATCATTTTCCTGTATTATCATGCAAATGGTTATGAAGATAATTTTCCAGATGGTTTCCTACTCTTCAGTAGACATTTTTGATACAGTGTCAATAGCCCATTTGGTCATTAATCTTTTTTCTTCTATGTGGCCAATTAAAATTGCTTTATGTAATGCATACCATAGGTGTCTGTGTTTCATAGATGTAACCAATATTTTATTAAGTTATATTAAATTTCTACTGAGGTTTGCCTTACTTTGGGTTTGTATTGAAAAATGTCTCAATTTTAGGTATTGAAAAAAATGGGATTTTCAGGTCTCTTGCAGCGCGTTGTATTTCTTCAATCGACCTATCCTCTATAATAATTTGCTTTGTTTGTGTCTTTGTCATTCTGTCTTTTATGTGCAAAAAACATATTTGTGCTCACTTTTCTGGACTTTTAGTGATTGATTTCAATTAGTTACAGTGTACTCTTGGTATCGAAGCAAAAATTGTCCCTTAACACCCCTACTTTAACTTTAACCCATAACAGTCTTACCAAGGTGAAGCAGAGAATAGACAGCAAAGGAAGGCAGAAAGAATAGCAAGAGTAAGACAAAGCAAAACAAATGAGCAAAGAGGACGTCGTAGAAGGGATGCAATGGAAAGGCAAAGGGTTCGCAGACGCAATAGAAGACAGGCTGAAAGAGTAGACAACAATAGATTCACTGAAGGTGGGATTGAGGAACATAGTTGTGGATTGGTGAACATGGTGTGCCAATTTTGTAACTCTTTAAATTTCCAAGCTGAAAGACCATGAGATGGAGAATTCCAGAATTGTTGTCATAAGAGTAAAGTGATTCTACCTCCAAGAAGACCATTTCCAGAGTATTTGCATGATTTGATGACACATCGGAACAATGAGCATTATCAGAACTTTAAAACAAACATTCGATTGTACAACAGTGCATTGTCTGTTGAGCAAAGTTCAATGATGAGATGTATGATTCACAGACCGTGTGGAGGATTAATCCAAATGCACCGTGCGTGGAAAATCATCAATGCCTAAAGAAATATCTGAAGGAGTTTAGAGAGGAGACACTTGGAAATGTTAATGGGTACCCATTGTATAGAAGAAGGCCAGGCAGAACAACTCAAGTTGGTAATGACACAGTGGATAACAGAAGCGTGGTACCCTATAACAAGTAGCCTATTTTTGCCCATCATTTTTGATGGGCTTTTACACTAATATTTGAATAATTGCCCCAAATGTGTGATACCAGTATGTTCCCAGATGCTAAAGTTTGCTAATAAATTATTAGGATTAAATTCAATATTATTATAGGTGCTAAAGTTATTTGTGTGAGTTTATGTGGCTGTCAGACAATGTCATCAGAAAATGGTAGACCAGCACACACTACCAGAAACTTCAGTATGTGACTGAGACAATCTCCATGGGTGCTGTTTAACCTGTTTTGTCAGGAATGTGTCAGTCTCTACTTTTGTTATCACCCAAGTCACTGGGTCCTCTGGAGATGCTCAGTCACCTGTATGATCACTTTGAAAACGCAACTCTCCAGGGTTCTGCTATAGCTCACGTTGTCCTTCCATTTGGCAGAGTTTTCTCGCAGGAACATCTCCTCCAGCAGCAGGAGAATGAAGAGGCAGGGGTTTCCTTTCATGGTTGCAAATAGCTCCTGGTGCTGTGCTGTTGGCATATGCATCAGGGACATGCCCCTGTAGGAGAAAGCATCCTACAAAATTTGGGAGAGATGCATTCTGAGTTATGGCATATGGAACATAGGATAGAAATGTGCGTGCCATTAATGGCCTCCTGCAGTTTTGAAAGCCCTTGAAGGCAAATCCAGCTATTATCTCCAATAGATTGGAAAGATGGAGGTATTGTGGTGCCAGAACCCTCTGGATTATGTGGCACATGTACAGATAAACGATAGGGCTGTGTGAGGCTTCGGATCTGGAGCCGCTTCGGACAATCTGGCTGCCTTTCCAATCACAGCGACTGGGGGGGAGGGACTTAGCAACATCATAAAAGCCTCTGTTTGGAGGTATGCTGTGCCTTTTGCAAGCTTGTTCCCTCTCAGGAACTTCATGAGAAAGGTGGCCTCAGACTCAGGCATCGCAGCTTGGTTGCTTTACTCAGTAGTTGAACTTACCTGCTCCTTTTTGTTGTTAGAAAGGCTTGGGTAGGATTTAGCTTTCTTAGCTTGGCTTAGCATCTCTTAGTACTATTCAATTCATTCCTTTCAATTTATATTTGTTCTTTTTTTGTGTGCAAATTTTGAAAAAAGAAAGTTGTGTTTTCCCTGCCAGTGTGATCCATCACTGTGGAGGGAGGCACACAGATTGCACACACATGTACACACACACACATACATACACACACACACACAATATGAAGAAGAAAAATCGGATATTCATAGGAGAATAAGACAGACAGACACAATTTTTACATAGCTTTTAACACTGAAGCAAATAATCAAAGAAGAGTCCAGTGCACACATGCAACAAGGGGAATAAAAAACACGAACATAAAAGGAGTGATACACACACAGAGACCTTTTGCAGCACAGGAAAGATTAATATGAAGCGTGCTGGAAAGGCAGGTGCCAGGGCTTCTGGCAGGGGAGGGAGAAGGGGTAGGGGGAGAGCTAGAGCTGCAAGAGAATTTTGAGCTGGCAGATGATCCCAGGCTTGCCATCTGCCAGCATTGCCGAAAGCACATGAGCTGTGGCAAGGATGTGAGACACTTTTCCACAACGGCGATGCTGCTGCATCTGAGGAGGCAGCACTCCCTTGCCCTTCTTTCTGCTCAGCCTGGCACCAGTATGAGTGTGCCGAAAGGGAAGTCCCCTGCTCACTTCAAAGCCCCCTTCTCCCCAAAGCAGAGGCAGGCCACCTTGGACCAGTGGGGGAAAGGTAGACAGAAAGGGGGTGCATTCCCAAGGCGAGTGAGATCACCCAAAGCACTGGGGAGATGCTTGCTCTGGATAGCCAGCCCTTCTCCCTAGTTGAGCGTCCAGGGTTCAGGTGGTTCATAGCACTTCTGGCCCCATCTTACAAAGTCTCTGAATGCACCACCTTTAGCAGGACTGTGGTGCCCTCTTTGTATGAGGCATGCAGGGAGTACTTGAGGGAGGAGCTGCGCAAGGCAGGGCTGCAGGTAGCCTTGCACTTCACCTCTGACATCTGGAGCAGCTGGGGTGGTGATCATGCCTACCTCTCCCTCACAGGGCACTGGTGTGATCAGTAAGGCCATTGGTGGGCTCTACTGCAAGCCGAGGTGCTGGATGAGTCCCACACGACAAGGGAGATCATGGGGGCCATGAACCTCATGGTGCAGGGGTGTCTTGTTGGGCAGGCCAAGCTCACCCACAGGTTCATGGTCACTGACAACAGGGCCAATATGGTGAAAGCTGTCCATGATGCCAACTTTGTTGGCATCTGCTGTGTGGCACACAGGCTGCACTTAATAGTGAGGGAAGCCTTGGAGAGGGACAGGGCTGGCAACGATGGCACCACCACCAGTACTGCTACAAGCCAGCTGATTTCAAAATGCAGGAAGATGGTAGGCTACTTCCACCGCAGCATCAAGCGGGGCAAGATGTTGTGGGAGAAACAGGAAGAGCTGAACATCCCGCAGCACAAAATCAAGCAGGATATGGAGATTCAGTGGAACTCCACATACCTGATGATCGAAAGTTTGGTAGAGCAACTGAAGGCCATCCATGAGATGGTCTTGCTTGGGGAGATTGGGATCAGTGGCCCCCTGAACAGAGCTGAGTGGGGTACCATCTCCTAGATCTTGCTGGTCCTCAAGCCCTTCCTCGAGACCACCGAGACCCTTAGTGCTGGCGATGCCCTCCTCAGCCAGGTAATCCCCCTAGTGAGGGAACTGGAGAACCAAATGGATAAGTTCCAGAAGATCAATGTTCCTGGCTGGGGCAGGCCACTGTCAGCAGGCAGGCAGGCACTCGTGAGGTGGCCGAAGGGTCATCAGGAGATGGCTGGATCCCTTGTGGTCTGGTATGGTCCACATGATAGCAGGCATGTGTGACCCAAGGGTGAAGGGGAGCATGTGCACTGGCAGCCCCAAAACCCTCGATCACTGGACGCAGGTGCTGGTCGACGAAGTCAGGGAAGCTGAAGTGCAGAGGTGAGGGGATGTGGAAGAGTGGGATCCACTTTCCCATGCCAGAACTCCCAGCACTAGCACCAGCACCAGCCAGTCTCCTCCACGCCAGCCACTGCCAATGTGGGCCATGGGCATGGCTTCAATGTTGGGGTCCAAATGCACCAAACCCCAGCCTCAGGCAGGTAGCATCAAGGCCGATGGCTACCTATCTCACTAAGGATGTGGAGCCACTGGAGTGCGGCCCCTTGGCCTACTGGGCAAGCTGCAGTCAGATGTGGCAGGATCTGACCATGCTTACCCAGCAACACCTGTCCTGACCACCGACCAGTGTTCCAAGTGAGGGTGTTCATCATGGCTGGGGATGTTGTGACACCCCACTGCACCTGCTTGGATCCTGCTTTGGTGGAGCAGCTGGTGTTCCTAAAGGTGAACCTCCCGCTGCTGGGGTTCCCCAAGCTCCACCTGCAGACAGACTGAGTGCCACCCTCCTCGCTCCATCAGCACCAATTTCCTTTTTTGAGTTTTTTAAAAGCCAAGTAATGCCCCGCTGTCAGCTGGAGGGGGCACTAACTGCATCACCAGCCAGCAGGGAAGAACATGTCCCTGCTGAGCTCATTCCCCTGCCAGGATGAACTTAGAGGTATGGGATTGGGGCTGTGGGGAAGGAGGAGGCCTCCGGTCCTGGGCATGACCACTAAAACTGTACCCTGCCAGGGTAGGGAGGCCTGGTGGGACTGCTGGTGGTGTGGCAGCCCCGTAAATGCCAGGACCAATGATCTCCTGGTGAAATGTGGGGAGGAGGCACCATAACCTCCAGCTAATGCATGCATGCACAAAGTCCTGGCTGGGGAACACCCAGACCTGTCACATCTTTGACAGACCTGACACTTGCTGGTTGCAGTGAAGTTATGAATCTCCTGGTGAGCTCAGCTTAGCTGCCTGGGATACCAGCTTTAGGTTGAAAACCCCTTTGTCAGGCTGAGGAAGTACCTGCAGTTGGTCCTGGATGAAAGGAATAATAAAGAAGCCAGAGGCTGGCCTGGCCCACAATGCAGGCAAGAAAGCCAGTCAGTAAAAATGGAAATGGAGGCGTCAGGGGGTGAGGGACTGGGTGGGGTAGGGGGAGGCACGTGTCTCTTGTTCCATATCAAAGGGGTTTGAGACAGGGCAAGAGGGACGTGTGTGCTTGTCTGGATGTACCCTGTAGCTTCAAGCATCTTTTGAAGCACTAGAGCTGGTAAGTGCTCTAGTGCTTCAGAGTGCTGAAGCACTAGAGCACTAGTGCTCTAGTGCTCTGAAGACTCTAGTGTGTCTTCAGAGTGCTGAAACTTTTAAATTAGAAACAGATCATGTGTACACATGTCCATACCCCAGGTCTTCAAATCATAGGTTAATGCCATAATGACTGGACTCCCATTCCAAACTCCACCTAGAAAAACCCCACACGCACTATTTGCCCCATTCTAAATTACTTAGCCAAAGTCTATAAAATAACTTCAGCCTAACATTATTTATGGAAAAGCAAATTATAATTATTCCATTTAGAACATGCAAAGAATGAATTCCAGTGAAGAGTCCCAAGACTGCAATGGAAGTAGTTATTTCTTCCTGGTGTAAAATATTCCATCTACCATTTTTCTCACCACATTTTTTATTTCCTTGTTTCTTAGGCTGTAGATGATTGGATTGATGAGAGGAGGAACCACAGAATACAGCACAGCATCAATGAGGGAATGGTAGTCTGAGTGCACCAGACTTGGTCTCATGTATGTAAGCATGGTAGTGCTCATAAATAAAGAGAAAACAGTCAAATGAGGCAGGCAAGTGGATAAAGTTTTATACTTGCCTCGTACCGAGGGCATTTTCAGCACAGTGATAAAGATGTGAATGTAAGACACAAATATTGAAGCGATGAATATGGACCCAAAGACTGAACAACAGACAAAAAGCATGATTTCATTAGCATGCGTATCAGTGCAAGAAAGTTTCAGTAATTGTGGAATGTCACAGAAGAAATGGCTGATAATGTTGGACCCACAAAAGTGCAACCTAAAAGTATCACCAGTGAGAAAAGCTGAATAGATCACACTGCCAATCCAGCAAACAACGGTCAGCTGGAGACAGGTACTATTGCTCATGATCAATCTGTATCTCAAAGGCTGGCAGATTGCAATGTAGCGGTCATATGCCATCACTGTGAGGAAGGCCAGCTCTGCTGACATGAAGCAGATAACCAAGAAGAGCTGAGTGATGCACCCATAGAAAGAAATAGATCTGATGTTTGTTATGGCATTAACCATAGACTTGGGAGTGGTGACAGAGATGTAGCAGAGGTCTATGAATGATAAGTTTCCAAGAAAAAAATGCATGGGGGTATGAAGGTTAGGATCCACAAGTAAGGCCACAATGATAAGCATATTTCCTATTAGGGTTGCCAGGTAAATTAATAGAAATATCATGAAGTGTAAAATCTGTAGCTCTCGACTATCCGAGAATCCCAAGAGAAGAAACTCCATCACGGTGGTTTGGTTGGTCATTTTCAGCTTCAGTAGCACTCTGAAGAGGAAAAAACAAAGGGAACCAGAAAAGGAAACAATCAGGAAAATATTTCCATGGCATACATACTCTTGACTGTCACTAATCATACAGGTTACCTGGCCAAATTGCTGTGTGTGCATATGTCAAATTCATGGCAACAGTAAGTGGAAACATTCATAATTCTCCGGACCTTGCCGAGTTGACATTCAAGAAGAAACTATAGCCTTGCAGTCTTAATTTTCATTAAGAATATTAAATATAAAGCCTTAAATGTTATTTATTTTAGTCAAATCTGTGCTATCCCACAGTTGTTTTAAAATTTCACCCTGCATAATATGAGCACAATATTGTCAGCTCATTTTTAAATTCAGCTGCCTCTCTGAGATCCCATTCACTTTCAAACTCTGCCCTCAGGACCCTGTGTATATTACAGGCCTACCCAGTTGGATAATTTAAATTCGTATACCGCTTATATTTGTATAAGCCCATATTTGGGGTCAGACATATTTAAAAGTATATTATCATAGTTATAGACAGCAATGTATTTTCATCTGAGCACCATAATACCAGTGTCATCCTTCAGTTCACATGGTTTCTCTATGTGAATGCTATGTTGGGGTGCTGTCTGGGCAGCTGCTGATGCTGCTACTTCTGCTTGCAATGTGTGTTCCTTTGAAATGCTTTATGTTATAGAAAGAATGAAGACAGACTACATTTTCACCTTATAGACTAATTAAATCAGATTCGTAAGCTTTTGTAAGCAGTGGTATATTCAGGGTTGTTAAATTGGGTGGCATGCAGCCCCCAAGGGTTGAATTGCAGCCCCCAGGTTCCATCTACATCCCCTGCTCTCCCCTGCCCTTTGTAGGAGATGGGGAGCCTGCAGTCCGGCAGTGCAGCAGCAGAGCTTGCATCCAGGGACCTAAGCGTGAGTCAGGGAACTCAGGCAGTGCAGCCAGGCAGAGCCAAGGGAAGCAGCAGCAGCAGGGAAAAGCCACAGGGAGTGCTCATGTTTTCTGCTTATCAGGGCAGGGTGTGACAGGGTGAGCCCTTAAGGGTGGCTATGTGTGCCCCCTACTGTCCACGCTAAACTTGCCTCACTCCAGATCCCCCATGTACCCCCTTGCTGTCTCATCTGCCATGCCTTGAAAATACTATATATCAATATCAATATATATATATGTATTTATATATTGTCGGGTTTGGACAGTGTAGCGGTGTCAGGGGCCAAGGGCACTCTCAAGTTTGGAGCAGCCATAAAGTCAGGCCAGCAGGGACCTGGAGGACTGAAAGGGTTCCCCGCCCCCCTTTGTGTTGTGTTCCATTAGTTTCCTGATACACTCAAGAAAAAGGATGTAATTTAATAGTGAAACGAGTTCTTAGACATAAATGGGAAACCTATGAGCTACGCTAGGGGTCAGGAGAAAAGGTTCAAAGTTGGATGATAAAAGTGCTTGCTCTCTATGCAAAATAAAAGCTGAATGTATTTATTCCATTATAAAAGTATCATTCCCCATTCTTGAATAAATGCGTAACTTCTTATTCTAAATTCAAACTTTCTACCTGCTTCATTAGCTATTTGATGTTATGGTCACTCAGTTGAAACATTACTAGGTTTTCCTGAAGTATATGGGCATTGGGAACACAAGCTAAAAACAATTTCCCTAATTAGCATGTGAATTACTTTTTTACTGCAGTTTTCAAAATGAAAGGGGAACAAACTGCCACGTCCGTACTTATACTGAGCAGTGAATTATTCTGTAAGCAGTTTCAAATGGGTTATTCACTAAGAAAGCAGTTATTTATCGTATAGTGACGTTCAAATCTGTTGCAGTGTGGAAAAAAATGAAATGCTTAATATTGATAACCTCAGTAGCAAGACTTAGTAAAGATTCAAGCAACTTATCTATAGTTAATCAGAATGGAGTTTTGACACTGAATTTGTGTTTCCACTGAACTTTACATTGTTAAAATTCCAAACAGAATTCTGATAAATGTATTAAAAGACTAATACATCCACAAATAAAAGCGTAAAAAAATATTTACTCTGGTGGTCTATATGATTTTTTCCCAGTGTAGTCTTTCCCCATGCACTTTCCATATGTTCCAAGTAAATAATGAAAATTTGTTAGTATGCTCTTATGTCTGTATTCCAATCAAGCTATCTACCTATTTCTGATTCTTCTAAATAAATAAATGAATGAATAAATAAATAAGTGCATCACTAATCAAAGCTGCATAATTGTAAGATACTTACTATGATGATGTTTGGGGATTTCCCCCATTAATTGGCATCTTTCTTATCTGGTTTCAAGATTGTTCAGGAGTTGAAGGAAATATGTCATTTCAAAGTCTGATCCCGTAACACCAGGCACCAAAAAAAAAGATATGAAAGGATCTCATATTCCTCACATTAAACCTCAGAACAAAGATACTAATACCTTTTGCTCTCTGAGCAAGAACTATATATAGCTAACTTAAGGCTTCACATGCAGTCTTGTGCTGTGAAAAGGAGATTTATCCAGGGCTATTCTCCACAAGTGTTTGGGGAATCACTCTCTAGAGCCTGGTACAGCTCAGAAGCAGTCACTGAAGTAAAGAGTTACTTTGTCACCCTGTGCATTTCTGTAGTTGCACCAAAACAATGTGATTCATAGATTCATAGATGTTAGGGTCGGAAGGGACCTCAATAGATCATCGAGTCCGACCCCCTGCATAGGCAGGAAAGAGCGCTGGGTCTAGATGACCCCAGCTAGATGGATATCCAACCTCCTCTTGAAGACCCCCAGGGTAGGGGAGAGCACCACCTCCCTTGGGAGCCCATTCCAGAATAAAAATAAAAGTGATAAAAAAATGAATGCAAAACCTTAGACTATTGATCTCCAGCCTTTTCTGTTCTGTGTGAAACAATACTGAGAAATTAACGTTCTGTGGATAACATCATATTTTAAGAACATAACATCATAAGAAGTACCATGCTCAATCAGATCAACGGTTCATTTTGCCCAGTGTCCTCTCTCTGACAGCGACAGGAGTAGATGTTGTAGAGGGAGCACTGAACCAGATATATCTTAAATTAGTAAACGGTAGACACAAGAGAGGGTAGTGAATAGGGATAGATCCCTCTAGATATATCTGAAGATACATATCCAACTCTGTCTCCAGTTTGCTTTCCTTGACAACCTGAAGAAAAATGTATCTGTGGAAAGCCAAATGTCAATGACCATGAACAATACTGGAAGGTCTCATCGATGAGCCATGGGTTGGGAAACTCTGACCCGAAGAAGAGAATGTGAGTCTGGCATTTAGAGTGTCCTGAGTTATAATTTCAAATGTATATGTATTAAAATATATATTTATTATGCATTATGGTGCCTTAGTTACTTAATTTCCCCTTGTCTTGTAGCCTGTAATCCAAATTCAATCAGTCGCTGGTTAGACTTTGAAGAAGTTGCAAGGCTTAGTTAGCCCTTGAAATAGATTAAGTCTTTGGTTAGCCCCTAATTAGTTTTTATAATGTTGCTTGTCACTGGCCATTGGTCGTGGTGGGAATTGTCACAACCCTAGCCAGACTTGTAACTACAAAAGGGCATGCTTAGGCTTTGAAAATGAAATATTTACCCCAAAAGTGGTATCTCTATTTAAAGACATATATATTCATGCCAATAGATTCAAGCACTACTCTGCATGCTTAAAACCTATACACTTATGATGAAGACATATGTATCTATACCTTATATAAATGTATAAAATCTTATTCTTAAACCCAAAGATATAGCCAGTGATGCTGCATTAGTAGTATCTAACCTTCTGACCCATCTGAGTGGTGTGGAGGCTGGTGTGTGTGAAGACCCCAAGGGTCTCTTATTTAACAACAAAGGGGCTGGAGGGTCGTTAATCCTCTTCAAAACCTTGGCGGAGCTTTGTGAAATATTAGCTCTGTAGGTTGGTGGATTTAAGGGTTCAATTGGTCAGACAGGGCATGTCCACACATGCAGGCATGTGCACTTGCAGCAGCTCAAATAGAAGTGGTACAAATTTGAGCCAGGGCTTTTTGCCTCAGTGCACGTGCCTGGACATGCACTTTGGTGAGGTGCAAGTTGTGCCACTTGGGACAAAATAACCCTACCTGGCTCCTCTCAGATCTGCAGTCAGGGGGAGCTAGAGCCTGGTGCCAGCATGGGGAACATTAAATTTGCAGTGTGGGGAACATGTTTTTGTTCCCCCATCTGCCCCTTGCAGCATTTCAAAAGGATTCAAGATGCTGGAAGAGGTATGTGTGCGTTCATCTGGACACGCTCATATTGTCTTATAGCCCAGCCCCATCTGACACCATCAGAATGCACAGACACACAAACAGTTGAATTAAGAATGTGTATTAATAAACAACATCAACCAATATGAATATACAAACAAACAGAAAACATATGCAGAGATGTATTACAAACAGGAGAACAGATTACAAACACTGCGGACACTGGGGCGAGTAGAAAACAACAGCCTGTTACAGTGGAGACTTGTAACACTATACTGAGGATTTCTATTCTTTTCCCTCATGGGTACTCAGAACCTCAGGCTCAGGGTGGGTAACACATTACCAAATTTGAATAAATGTTGACATAGAGGAACAATATCTTCAGGGAAGCCTCCAGCAGTTCTCCAGGATATCCAGATAAGTTTCTGTGGGCTGGAAGGCCACAGTTGGGTGGGCAGGGCTCTTTGTAGCCTGAGGGCTGAGCTGCCAGTGTCTCAGCTTCCCTCTTCCAGCCCAGGACTTGTATGTGGAAGCTGGGAAGAAACATAGTTCTGTAACTAAGCTGCATGAGCAAGCTCCCACCCAGCATGCTCAATATCTGTGCTAGGCTGCGATACAGCTGCTTCACTGCTGCCTCTGTGCTGCCCAGCAAGTGGCTGAACCTTGGGGCACCAGCCATTGGGAGGGAGGGGTACTTTTCCCCCCCGTGCTGAGCACCAGCTCGTTTCCCACAGGTGAGCGCAG